GGCCTTTTCACTAATGAAACCATTAGTGAAAAGGCCAGACTTCAGGGGTATCTGAGGCAGGCTTGAAACACAAGAGTCAGGGTGGCTTCTGGGTAATACCAGATGGCTAGGCCTCAGACTGACGAAGCCTCTTGGATGAGGGGCGAAACGTTTCTTTTTTAACAAAAAAAATGAAGTCCAGATGACATGATTCAACCTTTTTTGTTGTTATATACCTGTATGACTGAGAAAACAAACTTTGTAATTCAGCAAATGTTTTTTTTCTACTTTCTTCCACTAATTTAGACTTGTTCTTCCATTTCAGCATGATTCTTTAAAACTAATTTCCGCTGTTTCTCAGCAAGTTCTTCAACATTAAGTATTCACATGGCAGTTTTGCAGGAAATGCAATTTCTCTAGTTACTTTTAAGAGTTAATACTGAAGGAAACATACTGTGCCTGTCTGGCTGCTTAAAGAGGCAGCAATAGATCTAATGATAAACAGTTCCTTGGTCATTGCAGGGTTTCTGTACCTTCACTTGCTTCTTCCTGATGAGTGGTCGCACCTTCGCAAAATCATAAAGTTCAACGCTTTCATCCAGCCAGACCTGCAACAGACAGAAACATAAAGAAGACTTCACTCTGTAAACAGCTGGCTCTAAAATAAAGGATGGAGCGATTTATGATAAAAATCATAGTGTGGTGTGTTGGTGGTACAAGAGAACCTGAAAAGTACAGAATATGCCTCTCAGTAAACTGTTAATCTGAACCCAAAGCATGAATTCCCCTCACACAACAACCTTGATTAAACATTTTTAATTAGATTGACTGTAACATGATTGTGATCTACTAGATCACTACAAAGCTAATTGAACAAATCATTCTAAAGAGACTACTCAGTGCTTTATCACATTCATACACCGATGGTACACACATCGGAGGTGATGAGGGGTTCAGTATCTTGCCCATGGACACTTTGGCATGTGACTGATGGTGGATTCGAACCCCCAACTCTTGCATTGGCGGATGACTGCTCTAACCACTCAGCCACAACCGCCCCTATGTATGGTATGTGCAGGAAGCTAGTCAAAGAAAGAGGTTAGCCGAGAAGAAATATGACAGTGAGAGGACTGAAGAGAGGAGACAGGAATATATAGGGGGAGTGGTGGCGCAGAGGTTAGAGAGGTGGGCCTGTGATCCGAAGATCGCCGGTTCACGCCCCGGCCCCGACAACATCAAAAAATTGTGGGTGGGGTAGATGAAACACCCACACTTATCCCCACCCTCATTCGCCCCACTCTGGGCCCATGAGCAAGGCCCTTAACCCCACCATGTGCTCCCTAAAACAGGTCTCTCTTGAAAATGAGTTCTCGCGGCTCAATGAGACTAACCTGGATAAATAAAGGCTAAATGAAAAAAAAAATGAAAAAAATATAAGCAGATGGGACGTAGAGCGAAGAGGGAGGTAGCTAAGGCAAAGCGGAAGGAGTATGATGAGTTGTATGGGAGGCTGGACACTAAAGAGGGTGAGAAGGATTTGTACCGACTGACGAGACAGAGGGATCAGGCTGAAAAGGATGTGCAGCAGGTTAAGCTTGTTAAAAATAGGAATTATAATACTCTAACAAGTGAGGAGAGCGTGACGGGAAGCTGGAAGGAGTACTTTGAGGAGCTAATTAATGAAAAGAATGAAAGAGAAAAAAGAGTAGAGGTCATAGAATCTGTGGACCAGGAAGTGGGAAAGATTAGTGAGGGTGAAGTCCGGAAAGCTCTGAAAAGAATGAAGAAGGGGAAGACAGTTGGACCTGATGACCAGTGGAGGTTTGGAAATGGCAATAAGGAGAAAATGCCTCAGGAATGGAGAAGAAGTGTGCTGGTGCCCATTTTTAAGAACAAGGGTGATGTACAGAGTTGTAGCAACTACAGGGGAAATAAATTGATGAGCCACACTATGAAGATCTGGGAGAGAGTTGTGGAAGCAAAACTTCGACGAGAGGTGACTGTCTGTGAGCAGCAATATGGTTTCATGCCAAGAAAGAGCACCACAGATGTCATCTTTACTTTGAGAATGCTGATGGAGAAGTACAGAGAGGTTCAGAAAGAACTCCATTGTGTCTTTGTGGATTTAGAAACAGCATACGACAGGGTGCCAAAGGAGGAGGTGTGGTATTGCATGAGGAAATCTGGAGTGGCAGAGAAGTATGTTAGACTGGTACAGGACATTTATTAGGACAGTGGTGAGATGTGCTGTAGGAGTGACAGATAGCTTCAAGGTGGAGGTGGGAGTGCATCAAGGATCGGCTCTGAGCCCCTTCTTGTTTGTTCTGGTGATGGACCGACTAACAGATGAGGTCAGGCAGGAAATCCCGTGGACTATGATGTTTGCAGATGACATTGTGATCTGTGGTGAGAACAGGTGGAAGAGAACTTGGAGAGGTGGAGTATGCACTTGAAATAAGAGGAATGAAAGTAAGCCATAGTAAGACAGAGTACATGTGTGTGAATGAGAGGGAGGCCGGTGGAACAATGAGGCTACAAGGAACAAAGGTCACAAAGGTGCAGGACTTCAAGTACTTGGGGTCCACTGTCCAGAGAAATGGGGAATGTGGTAAAGAAGTGAAAAAGAGAGTCCAGGTAGGATGGAATGGATGGAGAAAAGTTTCAGGAGTGATTTGTGACAAAAAGGTGTCAGCAAAGGTCAAAGAAAAAGTTTACAAGACAGTGATGAGACCAGCTATGTTGTATGGTCTGGAGACAGAGACATGGACACAAAGACAGGAGACAGAACTGGAAGTGACAGAAATGAATATTTGAGTTTCTCCTTGGGAGACAAGGATGGAGAAGATTAGGAATGAGATCATCAGAGGTACAGCACAGGTTGAACAACTGGGAGATAAAGTTAGAGAGGACACACTGAGATGGTTTGGACATGTCCAGAGGAGGGACAGTGGTTTGGACATGTCCAGAGAAGGGACAGTGGTTTGGACCTGTCAAAGGAGGGACAATGGGTATATTGGTAGAAGGATGTTAGAAATGCAGCTGCCAAGAAAAAGACAAAGAGAAGATTTACAGGTCCTTCTAAAAAAATGAGCATATTGTGATAAAGGTCATTATTTTCCATAATGTAATGATAAAAATTAAACTTTCATATATTTCAGATTCAATGCACACCAACTGAAATATTTCAGGTCTTTAATTCTTTTAATACTGATGATTATGGCATACAGCTCATGAAAACCCAAAATGCCTGTCTCAAAAAATTAGCATATCATGAAAAGGTTCTCTAAACAAGCTATTAACCTAACCATCTGAATCAACGACGTAACTCTAAACACCTGCAAAAGATTCCTGAGGCTTTTAAAAACTCCCAGCCTTGTTCATTACTCAAAACCGCAATCATGGGTAAGACTGCCGACCTGACTGCTGTCCAGAAGGCCAACATTGACACCCTCAAGCAAGAGGGTAAGACACAGAAAGAAATTGCTGAACGAATAGGCTGTTCCCAGAGTGCTGTATCAAGGCACCTCAGTGGGAAGTCTGTGGGAAGGGAAAAGTGTGGCAGAAAACACTGCACAACGAGAAGAGGTGACCGGACCCTGAGGAGGATTGTGGAAAAGGGCCACCTCAGTAGTGCCACAGGCTGATTGCCTCCATGCCACGCCACATTGAAGCAGTCATTCATGCAAAAGGATTCCCGACCAAGTATTGAGTGCATAACTGAACATGATTATTTGAAGGTTGGCGTTTTTTGTATTAAAAACACTTGTCTTTCATTGGTGGGATGAAATATGCTAATTTTTTGGGACAGGCATTTTGGGTTTTCATGAGCTGTATGCCATAATCATCAGTATTAAAACAATTAAAGACCTGAAATATTTCAGTTGGTGTGCAATGAATCTGAAATATATGAAAGTTTCATTTTTATCATTAGATTATGGAAAATAATGACCTTTATCACAATATGCTCATTTTTTGAGAAGGACCTGTATGGATGCAGTTAGAGAGGACATGAAGGTAGTTGGAGTGAGGACAGAGGATGCAGAGAACAGACTGAGATGGAGGAGGATGACTCGCTGTGGTGACCCCTGAAGAGGGAAAAGCCGAAATAATAATAATAATAAGAAGAAAGTGGCATTACAGTGATTTTTCTTTGTTGTCTTTTTTTTTTTTACAGTGATAATTCTGGTTAGAGATTCATGAGTGTAACAGCTTCAGGGTAGAAGCTGTTCCTCAGTCTAGTGGTTCTACACTTAATGCTCCTCAACCTTCTGCCTGAGGGGAGCGGGGCAAAAAGTGTGTGTGCTGGGTGAGTGGAGCCCTTCATGATGCAGGTGGCTCTGGTGGTGTAGATGTTCAATCAACCTTTATTTATACAGGTAAATCCCATTGAGCCTCGAGGACTCATTTACAAGAGAGTCCTGATTTCAACAAAGAAAGATGACAACAATGGACAACAGCAACAACAATGAACAGTTATAAAAAAGCATACTACAGTTGTTTTTTTTTTTTAACAAATAGGATGGCTAAAAGGAAAAGGTAACAAAACAAAAAACAGCTAGATTTCAAGACAAATGTAGAAAACTAACAACAGGAACATGTCTGCATTGGTCCCTGCCAGGTGTCCAACAGATTCTTAAAGACACTTAGAGAGGACAAGGTCGAGAGATTCAAATCTTTTTGTAAGATGTTCCAGGAAACAGGAGTGGAATAGGAGAAGGTCCTTTTGCCTAGTTCAGTTCTCACTGAGGGAACACTGCAGGTAATAATGTCCTGAGAGCGCACGCTGTAGCTGCACTCACACAGAGACATGTAGGAGGAGATGTATGAAGGCAGCAGACCAAGAAGTGATTTAAAGATGAAAATGTACCAGTGGGAAAATCTGTGTGAAGTTAATGATGTCCAGTTAACCAGTGAATACTGGGTGCAGTGGTGGGTACGATAATCACAGCCAGTTATGAATCTTAGTGCACCATGATAGACAGCATCCAACATCTGCAGGGTTCTTGTAGGAGCGTTCATGTAAATAATATCACCATAATCAATTGAGGGAAGGAAAGTCACAGATACAAGGCGTTTTCTAGCATTCAGGGTTAGACAGGATCTGTTTCTGAAAAAGAAACCCAGTTTAACTGTCAGTTTCTTTACCAAGTTTTCCACATGGAGCTTCAAAGAGAGATGTGAGTCGACCAAGATACCCAAATATTTATAGGAATCAACAAACTCAATGGGGACACCATTTGAGGATAAAATCGGAGGAAGAACTGCTGGGACCAACTTCCTATTTGAAAAAAGCATCCCTTTGGTTTTGTCGGCATTTAGGACAAGTTTGAGGCGAAACATATCAGTCTGGATGATGTTGAATGCAGATTTCAAAAGCTGGAAAGCCTTAGCAACAGTTTTAGCTCGACAATAAACAACTGTGTCGTCAGCATAGAAATGTATGGATGCATTAGGGATGTTTTTACCTACATTATGTATGTAGATTGTAAAGAGGGTGGGTCCTAAGACTGAGCCTTGTGGTACACCATTTTTGACTGTTAAATAACTGGAGGAAGTACCATTATGTTGAACACATTGCCTCCGGTCTGAAAGATAGTTAGAGAACCAACCAATAGTGTGTTCTGAGAAACCGATTTCTGAGAGTTTATGACACAAGATGTTATGATCCACAGAGTCAGAATCTTTAGACAGGTCTAAGAAAAGTGCAGCACAATAATCCTTAGCATCCAGTGCTTCAACAATGTCATTAAGAACCTTCAGTGAAGCAGTGGTTGTGCTATGTTGTTTCCTGAAACCAGATTGATGTGGAGGTAAGATGTTAAATGAGTCCAGGTAATTTTTGATTTGAGAGTTTATCAGTTTTTCTAGAACCTTGGCTAAAATGCAGAGTTTAGAGATTGGTCCATAGTTGTTCAGTGAGGTGGGGTCTCCTCCCTTCAGCAAAGGAAGAACAAAGGCTGTTTCCAAGTGTCTGGGATGGAGTTTTGTCTTATGGAGAGATTGAAGATGTGGGTCACAGGGACTGTGATGATATGAGCAGCCAGCCTTAAGAAATAAGGTGGAAGTTCATCTGGACCTGCAGATTTTTTAGTGTCAAGATCTTTTAACAGTTTATTGACCTCACTGACTGAGAACGGAGAAAAAGAGAAGGTGTGATTAACTGAGGATTGATTTGTAGAAGTTTGGTTATTAAGTGAAGTGGCTGATTTTCCATTAGTAACTGTGTCAAATAAAGAACCAGAAGCAACAAAATGTTTGTTGAAACAGTTCAGGATCTCGTGCTGATTTGACACAGGAACAGAGTTAACGAGAAGTTGTGATGGGAGGACAGATGACTGGGGGGTGCCTGAGAGAATTTTGATGGTTTTCCAGAATCTGTTAGGGTCATTTAGATTTTTGGAGGTCTGAGATAAGAAATAGTGCGTTTTGCTGCTTTAACAGAAGTTGTACATTTATTCCTCATCTGTCGAAAACTCAACCAATCAGTGTCTGAGTCAGATTTTCTCGCTGCGGCCCAAAGATGATCTCTCCTGTGCAGGAGGTCAGCTAGCTCTGGAGTAAACCAGGGGCTGTCTCGTCCCTTTATTCTGAACTGACGAAAAGGAGCATGTATGTTCAGGAAATAAATGAAATTATTATGGAAATAGTTCCAAGCAGAGTTCACATCATCAGTTAACAGAATACGATGCCAGTCAAAGTGAGACAGATCCCAGAGGAATGACTGTTCACAAAAATGTTTCAGATCCCTTTTTTGAATTAATCTGGGCTTAGAAGGTGGAAGTTTAATATCTCTCAAAGCAGCTGTCACACAGTGATCACTCAAAAGATCGGCAAATACACCTGTACCAGGGAATTTGTGAGGCATATTAGTTAGAAACAGGTCTAAGATGGAGGATTTTTCTGGACGGTTTTTATTTAATCTAGTGGGAGAGTCGATCAGTTGGGTTAAATTAAGAGACAAGCAACATTCCTTGAATTTGTCACAGAGGGGGGTCGACTTACACCAATCAATGTTGAGATCTCCAGCCAAAAAGATCTCTTTGAATTTTAAATTACCAAGGAATTCCTTCATGGCAGTTAATGCCTCAGGTGATGTTTTGGGGGGACGGTAGCAGCAGACTACAGTTAAAATCTGGCCTCCATTCAAGGTGATGTTTACAGATAAGACTTCAAACTGGTTTGGAATTGTTTTAGAAGACACAAGACTAGAAACCAGAGAATCTCTGATGTAAATAATGACTCCACCCCCCCTTTTTTGACGATCACAGCGGTAGATGTTAAATCCATGATTGCCACGTCATTATTCATTACAGATTTGTTGAGCCAGGATTCAGAAATAAAGATAACATCTGCCCCAGAAGAACTGACCAGGATTTTCACAGCATCAAGTTTTTTCAGAAGGCTACGAGCGTTTACATGCAGAAAATGAAGACCAGACACGTTTTAAAGTCATTTGGTGTGCTGTAATTAGTGGGGGGTCCAGGGTTGGGCTGAATCCCTGAGAGCAGTAACAACATTATTATCAGACATTTTCTTGAGTTTTTTGTGACTGATGTGTAATTACAGGAGTTAACAGTGAGACAATTATCCCCCATAATCAAACCATGAGAAACATTAATGAAGACGTGATCATTCAGAACCCAAAAACAGTGTAAGTTGCAGTGATGGACAGATTCAGGTGTATTAACAAGATTCAGTGACTCCAGATAATCTGAGAACTGAAAATAGTGACAGTAATATGAATGATGCAGAAAAGTTTCAGACCATAAGTCTGTTTGTGTCATATGTTTGTGACGGTAGGAAGGCTGACTCCCAACAGTCTTCTGCACAGCCTTCACCACTCTGCAAAGTTTTCCTCTTTACAGCTGTGAACAGGTCTGGAGAATGCCAATATGACTTGCCTACATGCCAGCTGACTTTTGTGCCAGAGTTTTAGACTACAATCAACTTGCGCTGAGAAATGACTCCACTGTAGCCAAAATGATGACATCCAATGGAATATTGTGATGTCTTGCATGATTTCACAGCATCAGTTATCACCTGGAGTACGTGTGGTACCCACCTGATTCTTGATGCCGTTGTCTCCAGAGAGGTCTGTGGTGTTTAGTTGGAAAACAAGAAACTGGAAAATTCTGCCATTGGTCCCCACTGCTTGAACAGTTATAGGACGGTCTAACACACTCAGGGGTGAAAACTGACACACACACACACACACACACACACACACACAGTGTAAAACAGAGGGGTGATTTAATGGAAATTTAAGCAAAACGGAGTTAAAATAAGAGTTGTTAAAGTGTGTTCCTCAGTAGATTCTTACCCCATAGAGTTTGTGTGCACGGGCCAAAGCATTTCCAAAGGTGAACATAACCATCTTAGCTCTGAACTGCTCAGGGCTGAGTCTAAACTGGCGTTCAGTTGACTCCAGGAAGTAAAGCGTGTGGGCGTGAGGGTATTGGTAATCACCTGTGAAACCTAAATGAAAAGTGAGACATCACACAATAAGCCTGAAAACTTCATAAAAGCAGTTTTTGTGTTAAGATCCATCTCTGGGAACCCTGAAACACAAAAATGAGGGCTTGAAATCAGCTAACCTGTGCAGCTCATCTCTTTGTATACGTTGACTTGCTGCAAATCGATGGTGGGCGAGACGGGATAGAAAGTTTCCAGAATGTGATCGGATGTGTCAGCCACTTCCTGTTTCCCACAGACCTCTGGGAGAGGATCCATGCTGCACTGCAGTAAACCATTCTGACCCCTAATTTGGAGCAAGTCATCACCTGATATACAAACATAAAGACAGATATTTGAATATTTCATTCAGAAAAGCAAACAATAGGGGAGTCAAGTCAAGTCAAATTTATTTATAAAGCACATTTAAAACAGAAATCGTTACCAAAGTAGGCGCAAGATGGCCACTGATTGGTAGACAGTGTTTTGCCAGGCCCACTGAAAAACTGCCTTTTATAATTATATCATCGCTTCAAAGAATCATGCATATTCATCACAGCTGATTACACACCAAGCGTGGCAAAGGCACGAGCCGCGTTCACAGAGGTGAAGTGACTCCTACAGAACCAACCAGGTGTCCCACATGGACTTCTTTTTCCAACATGGCTTCGCACCACATATGGAGGGACGGACAAGGCGTTTGTCGACTCTGTTAAAGCTATGGAATATGTCAAAAGGAATCTAATTCCAGAAACAGGGGACGAGGACCAAAATAGATCGAAATAAACCACAGGACTGGCCTCCCTCAACCAGCATTTTTCTTAAGCTTGTGTTTAACTCAATATTTGGCTGTTAAGTCCTTTAATGCCAGTATGTACAATATTTTATTTATATTGGAGGGCAAGTGTACTGTGTTAATGTTCTGAATTGATTACTGTAAGTTCTGGTATATGCACACCCTAATATGGGAGCGTTTTTCTTTTTTCTGTTTTATATTTTTGTATTGGATGGCGATTCTACAGTGTTCAACGCTCTGAAATGATTACCGTAAGTTCTGGTATATAGTATGCACGCTAATATGGGAGCAGGTTTTTTATTTTGTTTGTATTTTTTATACATCTCCTTTACAGGGACACGTTTGATATTTACGGTAATATTTGCATAATTTATTGTTTCTTTTTTTAACTACTATTACTCATATCATATTCATCAGTTTCCTCCTTTTAAAAGGAAGTTTTTCCTTTCCACTGTTGCCTTTGTGCTTGCTCAGGATGGGAGACTGCAACGAAGTGAAGAATTTTCATAATTGGCTTTTCTATGTATGTGAATGTTTTTGTACAGTGCCCTGAGAAACTTTGTTGTGAATTGGCACTATATAAATAAACTGAATTGAATTGAATCATATGTGGGCAGCCTTGAGCCCAGATGGTTGGATTGTGTTCTCTAGCGTAAGCACTAACTTGTGGATTTTCAGTTGACAGTAGTTTTTGTTCTCTCCGTGCTTTGGTAGGAGAGAGGGGTGGGTTTATACTGGATCAGTCTTTTGGGGTTTCTTGTTACTTTTATCAGGTAGGTACTGGCTTGTTATATTTTGTGTGTAAATTATTTCTTGCTGTTCAACTATGACCACCATTAAGGATGTTAGCCACTCTAGTGGCTGCCCAATTAATTGCGTAAGCTGGTGAAATCTCTTAATAATCCAGTAAAATTCCGAAAATTTATGTCTCACTTGAAACAGCTGAACGCTGATATTGCCTTTTTACAGGAGACCCATGTGCGTTCTACAGATAAGAAAGTTTGTTAAAAAAATGGTCTGGTCAGGTGGTTCAATCCAATTTTTAATCCAATTCAAGAGGGGTAGTTATAATAGTTGGCAAGCAGGTACAGTTGACAGCCTCGATTGTGCATGCGGATACTGCTGGGCAGTATGTTATAGTGATGGGGAAGTTATTCACACTGCCAGTGGTATATGCTCCCACCTGGGATGACTACATTTTTGAATAACCTCTTCTCAAACATACCAAATATGTCAACACATAACTTTATAATTGTGGCGACACAAAAGGGCCTTTTCCATTAGTGCCTATTAGGCACGGTTTGACTCGGTTCCAAGGCTTTTTCACTAGCAATGATTCGTGGAACCAGCCCCTTTTTCAGGACCCACTTTGCTCTGGTTCCAAGCGTACCGTACTGGCCTTAAAAAGTGGCATCAGAACACTGTCGGTCACTGACTGTTTAGGGGGTGGAGTCACTGGTTGAGAAACTTTCATAACAACTCAATCCGCTATTTGCAATAACTGAAACTCGGAGGAGCAACTGCACCTATTTTTAAGATTTTAAAAACAATAATGAAAACACCGTGGTCTAATGCTGAAGTGCAGGCATTTTTTTGTGCTTGGCGGCCGACGACAAAATTCAGAGCAAGCTAGATGGAGCTCCACCGGTCCCCCACGGTACTCTCCATCAAAGTCTCGGAGCCCCCTCAGGGCGGGCAGGGCATCGCCTCCAGGGCTCCGAGCTCCGCTGGTCTGGGGAGACGAAGGTGTATAAAAAAAAATTAAATCTTGTACTGTGTCCTAGACAAACACAGTGTGAAAGATGCAAAAAACTGACCCCAGAACATGAAACAGCAACATACTGATGATATCAAAATACATTTATACATGAGGAGGCTGACGAGGGCAGTAAGTTGTCCGTGAACACTTCCAGAAAGTTCCATAGTTCTGATAAAAAGAGAGCAGTGTCTTATCAGCCAGCTCAACTCTGACACAGATCCACA